GCCCCGAGAGAGCCCCAAGATGGCACCAAGAGGGCCTGAATGTTAACACAAGGTTAACACAAGGCGCTCTCCAACAAGGAGGCGGTCTGTATCAAATGTGTGTGTGTATGTGTGTGTGTGTTGGATTTCGGGCCCCCTTGGAGACCTCTCAGAGCCCTCGGAGGGCTCCCGCGGGGCCGCAAGAGGTCCCAGGAGGGCCCCAAGAGGACCCCCCAATGGCCCCAAGACGGCCCGAACTTTAACACAAGCTTGAACGCAAGACAAGCAACTCGACCCGCCGAGCCGCCGGAGGTCTGGGACGGCACACGCAGCAGCAACAACGCCAGGCACCGCGGTGGGCAGCCCAGGCAGCACCAGCAGCATCAACGCCAGCAGCAACAGCAACATCTCCAGCAACAGCAACGAGAGAAGCAGCAACAGAAAGATGATTCCAAGATGGACCCGGAAGGGTTTTGAAAGGATCACAAGATTACCCGTGTCGCCCCAAGATGCCCACCCCTGCTAAGCAATGGCCCCAGTATGACCCCAGAGCGACCCTGCGGCCCCGAGACGAACCCATTGTCCTCCGACTGAACTAAGGCTATCGCGAGGCCCCGATTTTACTCCGAGGTGGCCCCGGGGCGACCCCATGAGCCCGAGTCGACATCGAGATTGCCCCACGATGGCCCCTTCCACCCTAGTTGACCCCAAGATTGTGCCAATATGGCTCCAATGTGACTCCGATGCGATTCTCCCGTCTGCCCTTGCTCTTGGCTTGGGACGGTAGGACGGATGGGGGTGCTGGACCTCCGCCCCCTCGTCGTCGTCGTAGTCGTCGTCGCCGTCATCGTCGCTGTCCGCCTGGTCCAATTGGCGGAGCAGAAGACTGAATCCCCGACACAAGCCGACCCCATACTTTGTTTGATCAGTTCCCCTAAGTACACGCGTGGTTTGGGTAATGTCCATGGCTCTCGGGGTGAGGATGCAGCGCAGTGTTCCAGACGGGTTTGTATAGCAATCCGTCTTGGAAGCCGGCCACCGTATGTAGGTGTTTGTGATCAAGCGTTCTTCCCGCTTGCCACCCTGCTCTCACTTAGTTGTTCCCAAATGATCTGGCGTTGAGCCTCGCAGTTAAAACATATCCCAGTCCCTGGAAAGCAGCTTTCATCTTGTACTATACATGTACAACACATGCCTGGGTGATGAGAATGCTGCGGGGGTGTGGGTGCAGCCTTCTGTTTGGTATCAAGTTCGTGATTGATCGATCTAGCGGTTTCGATGGGATCATATCGACATCCATGTTGCCTTTACCAGCCGAATCATGCATGCAACGATTCCACCACCAACGTATCAATGTAGATCCTTGCCGATATCACTTACCCATGCGTATATCGAGCCCAGCGTCAGTCGACAGTATCGTTTTGTCGGTATCGCCTTCTGTGTGCCGACCTCATTATCAATATTGGTTGTATTCGATGTACAAGCACATGTGTATATATATATATATACATGAACTACAGATCCACCCTATTCTCTGTCCACCTGTTGACGCTAGTGTCTGGCGAACAAGCACCCCGTAGACTACATCTATATCAATATAAATATACATTTCCATGGATGTATATTTATACATGTATCAACATGCACACCATATGTCTGACGAGCTGCGAATGTATCTAGGTTTAGGCAGCACATGCATATCTACACGGCTAACAGTTGTATCGTTGAGGGTGAATGTATGACTGCGCCTGTGCCCCAGTATACACGAATATGCTGTGCTATCTGTTTTCTCAAACGGATACACGCCTTATTTGATACCGAACGATCTAGGAGCCAATCGGTATCACGATGTCCTTGCTGGTACCGTTATTCATGACTATACACGTATGTACATGTAGAACATACGTTCTGGTACTGCTATCCGTCTGTCCCCTATATCCGATATACACATATTCGATGTGCTTGGTAGAAACGTTGAACCGTCTATGTATCGGTCTCCGTAACTAGTTGTTCATAGGAACCGGTCTCAACACTTATCGGCAAGGCTGTCGTTCTACCGATGCTAGTATCAATCGATCAGCCGATATCACCATCCACTTGTCTGGAAATTTGTTCATCGATATCAGAATCAGCCAATTTCCCAGTTTCACGATGCTGTTCTCGCTTCCTACTGGGGAGCGAGAGAGAGAGAGAGAGAGAGGCTTCTGCGCCTCTCCGCGATGTTCGACTGGTCGGGCGCGGGCTCACTCTCCCCCGCGGACTTGGCGATGCTGCTCCAGGCTCCGCAGAGGGCACCTGTGCACTGCCACCACCACCATGCCTTGGCGAGGAATCTCTCGGCCTCAGCCAAGATGGTGTCTGGCGGTGCACGGTGGTGGTGTTACATCACAAAGGCCGTGCCTTTCGCCGCAGCGTGGGCCCCTAGAGGTCTGGACCCCCTTCGCGGGGACCGGCCTTTCATCCCTGGCAGCTTCTCGACGGCCCCGGGGCCGGGCCCGACCCCGTCATGATGGCCGACGGCAGGCCAACATTTTGCGGCGAGATTTCTTCGGGGCGCGAGCCCTGACATCCGCCGGTGTGGTGTTTTCTCTCCGCGGCCCCAGTGGTCTCGACGGCCTCCTCGGGGGCAGTTTTTCTCACCCAGACTGTGTTTCGGATGGCCCTCGTGTGCCCATAGCGCGGCCCGCGGGCGACTCGAACGTGCCAACGACCGCCAGCGCGGCGGGGCCAAAAGACGTTTCTGATGGCCCAGCGGCCCGATCACGCGCCGAAGTCTTAGGAGAAACGCTGGGATTGCAGAAGAATCACATCGTCGGAGATCAGGGGCTCATCCCCGAGGCCTGTTGCGCCCGGATCATCGGATGCCAGAGTTTTCCAGTCGCGACCGACGAGGTCGGTCACTATCAGCTTTGCTTCAAACCCAGTATCGGTCGCGACCGATTTGCTTCAAAATGGGTCGCGGCCGACTTTGGAGTCGGTCGCGATCGATCGCGACCCATTCGGAGTGCCGATCGGTCGCTACCAATCGCGACCGATTCCCAGAACGGCCGCGACCGATTTGGAGTGCGGATCGGTCGCTACCGATCGCGACCGAACGGGGAACGGAAAACGGGGATGGGGTCCCGGGGAACGGTCGAACGCCAGTCCCAGGGAACGGGTCGAGACTTCGGGGGTTCACGTTGTGAGAAAACCACGAGGCACAATCCGCGAGGTATTCCGTGAAACCAACAAGTCGTCGACGAGGAGAAGTATGAAAAACCAGCCGCATTGGGTCTGTGGCATTTCCGCTTTGCCAGGCCACTTCAAGCGTGCAACGTTTGATCATCTGCCGTGGAACGCTTTGAGAAAATGACGGCGTCGGGGGGCCCGTCTCCACTTGTTCTTTGTCTCAGCGTTGTTTGACCGACCCCTATCCCCATCTCCATCCCCATCCAGGCCCCCACCATCTCAGCACCCGGGCTGAGGATATACCCTTCGAAACCCAAAGGAAAAGGCCTATATCAAATGGCCTTCGGCCCGTCCCGCCACCGTCGGGATCTCGTGGAGGCAGTTTGGATGCCTCTTTGGGGTCGTTTGGGGGCATATTGGGGCCCAATATGGGCCTCTTGTGGGCCTGTGTGGGCCTCCTCTTGGAGCCTCCTGGGCGCCTCTTGGGGCCTCTTGGACGGCTTGGATTTTCGGATCGCGGTCCTTCTCTTGGGCCCCTTTTTGGGGCCGTCTGTGGGCGCTCTTAGGCCGTCTTGGGGCCCTCTTGGAGGTCTCTTGGGCTGTTTGGGGGCGGTCTTGGGGGCCTCTTGGGGCGTCTTGGAGCGTCGGGAGGCCGAAACGGCGAAACGCCCGAATCCTTCAAACATCGATCGACAATCAATGATGTTTGCCTTTCGGGGCCCTCTTGGGGGGCCTCTTGGATCGTCTTGGACGCCTCTTGGGCCATCTTAGGCGTCTTGGGCCGATCTTTGGGCGTCTCGGGACACTCTTGGGTCATCTTGGAGGCCGCTTGGGCCATCTTTGCCCGTCTTTGGGCCCTCTTGGGCACGAGAAGTTCACGCGCCGCCACTTCCTGAAGCCCCAGGGGACACGCGGGAAGCCACAAGAGATTTCGGAATTTGAGGTCCTGGCCCTTCTAAAAACTCCTCAAATGTGAGGGTTGAGGCTTAGAGGATTGGGCCCAGGACCCGAGGACACGCCTACTCCGTGCCCAGCGGCACTGTGGCGGATGTCCCCATCTTGGGGGGTAAATCGGCCAGCGCGGCCCAGGATACGCTGCTGGGGCTAGGGGTCAGTGAAACGGTGCTCCACGGCGTCGGGGGCTCCTTCTCCACTGGCTCTTAATATCCGAAGAGAGGGGAAGATGATGATGAGGAGGAGGAGAAGGAGGAGGAGGAGGGGGAGGAGGAGAAGGAAGAGGAGCAGGAGGAGGATGAAGAGGAGGAGAAGAGGAGGATAAGAAGAAGAAGGAGGAGAAGGAGGAGGAGGAGAGGAGGAGGGGGAGGAGGAGGAGGAAGGAGAGGAGGAGGAGGAGGGGGAGGAGGAGGAGGAGGAGGAGGAGCAGGAGGAGGAGGAGGAGCAGGAGGAGGAGCAGGAGGAGGAGGAGGAGGAGGAGGTGACCTGGGAGCCTCGCCCAGCTCCGACCCCGGCGCCCGCGCCTGCTGCTGGCGCCCCCTGTGGCCGCCCGCGTGCCCCCGCCTGGAGCCCAAGCCAGAGATCCGATGTCGTGAGGTCCCCGGCAGTCTTGACCCGTTCCCCAGGACAAGTTTCTCATCCCGAGTCGCTTTTTGACGGTCCCGAGGCCCAGTGAGGGCCCCAAGGGTTGAAATGTTCGAAAAACCTCCGTCTTGATTCTCTCAGTGCGCTGGGGATCTCTGGGAAGACGTCTGCCCCTGCAGGCGGCCGGCGCGGCCCTCCGCCGCGGCCTGCGCCCGCCGCCCGCGGCGCTGCAGCCGGGAGACGGCGGGCCGGGCGCGTCCGTGCGCGAGCTGTGCGCGCGGGCCGTGGCGGGCCGGCAGGCGGCCGCGCACGAGGAGCGCCGGGCGTGTACCTCTCGCCGGGGGAGGGGGCCCAGAGATCCCCAGCGTCTGGAAGACATCAAGACGGAGGTGTTTCGCAAGTGTCGGCCCCCAGGGGCCCTCGCCGGGCCTCGGGGCCGTCAAAAAACGACTCAGGATGAGAAGCCGGTCCTGGGGAATGGGTCAAGACTTCCGGGGACCGCGTATTGAAAAAAACACGACATCGGATCTTTGGGGGGGGGGCGGGTCCTGAGGCTTTTCGCCGCCGTTTTACGTACGTGCGTACGTACGTATGTATGTATGGATGGATGGATGTCCATTGGTACGGTGTCCGCCTGACCAAACCCAGAATTGTTTGGCACTGCACGAGGTCATCCTCGACCACTTTGCATCACCGTGTCGGAATGGGGCTGTCTGGCATGGAAACACTGTCTGGCTTTTCATTTTGCGTGGTCATGCACGGAGCTTGGGCTTAGATGTACAGATTGATTTTCCATTCGCCTCCTTCGAGCCTCAGTGGATTGACTCTGGGGCGGAGCTTCACTTCGAGTTCTCTTCGATGTTTCGTCGCCGTCGTTCCCCTCTGCTTTCTTCCTCCTTCTCACAAAATTGCGCTTGAAAGAACTGTATGGATGGATGGATGGATGGGTGGATGGAAGTACGTACGCACGTACGTATGTGTGTACGTATGTGTGTATGTGTGTATGTGTGTATGTATGTATGTGTGTATGTATGTATGTATGTATGCATGCATGCATGTATGTATGTATGTATGTATGTGTGTGTAGTTATGCATGTATGTATGTTTGTATATATGTATTTATGTATGTATGTATGTATGTATGTAGGTATATATGTATGGATGCATGCATGTATGAATGTATGTATGCATATAAGTATGCCTGTACGTAAGAATGTGTGTGTATGTATGCATGCTTGCATACATACATCTATTTTTTCTATATATATATATGTATATATGTATGTTTAGATGTATGTATACATGCGTGTATGTATGTATGTATGCATGTATGTATATATGTATGTATGTATGTGTGAGTGAATGTATGCATGTATGTATGTATGTATATATGTGTGTATGTTTGGATGTAGGTATGTATGGTATGTATATGCATGTGTGTATTATGTATGTATGTATATATGGTTGTATGTATGCATGTATGTATGTATGTTTGTATGTATGTGTGTATGTATGTATGCATGTAAGTATGTATGGATGCATGTATGCATGCAAGTGTGTATGTCTGTACGTATGCATGTATGTATGGATATATGTATGTGTTTATGCATGTATGTATGTATGTGTATGCGAGTGTGGCTATATGTATGCATGTATGTATGTATGTATGTGTGCATGCATACATGTATGTATGTATGTATGTATGTATGTATGTATGTATGTATGTATGTATAGGTGTATGTATGTATGTGTGTATGTATTTGTGTATGTATGTATGTATGTATGTATGTATGTATGTATGGATGGATGTGTGTATGTATGTATGTATGTATGCATGCATGCATGCATGCATGCATGTATGTATGTATGTATGTATGTATGTGTGTATGTATGTAGGTATGTATGTATGTATGTAGTGTATGTATGTATGTATGCATGCATGTATGTATCTATGTATGTATGTATGTATGTGTGTATGTGTGTATGTATGTATATATGCATGCATGCATGCATGCATGTATGTATGTGTGCATGTAGGTATATATGTATGTATGTGTTGATGTACGTAGATAGGTAGGTTGGTAGGTAGGTTGTGTGTATGTATGTATGTATGTATGTATGTATGTATGTATGTATGTATGTATGTATGTGTGTATACGTATACCGACATATGCATATACATAAACAGGGATAGAGAGAGAGAGAGAGAAAAACACACAACAGGGGAAGAAAGAGAGATAAAGAGAGAGAGAGAGAGCCCTAGTGCCTCTCCAGCAGATCTGGGGCGCGCGTTCGCGACGGGGGCCAGGAAGGTCGGCATGAAGGAAACGGTTCCCGAGGGAAGCGGGTCCTGAGGTTGTTCGTTGTTTTGGGCCTCCCAGGGCCGTCCAGGGGCCCCGGGACTGTCAGGAAACGACTCAGGGTAAAGCATTGGTCCTTGGGGGAGGCCCCAGGGTCCAGGACCCGTTTCCCTCAGGACCCATTTCTTTCACGCTGGTATTCCATTAGCCAGAGGCCTGGATCGGGTATCAAACAGTGACAGAAATAGAAGTGCTTGGAGGTCCGCCCGGATCTCGCGGATCGGCGCCGGAGGTGCCGCCAGGGGGGCCCCAGCGCCGATCCGAGGAATCCGCGTGGCCCTCCGAGGTGCTATGTTTATGCCATTGTTTGCTCCCCTTCTGGAACGTAGCACCAACACCAAGATCCGAAGAAGAAGACACATAATACAACAAACATCATAAACATAAGCCTTCCGAGCTCCGCGCGGGTTTCTTGGATCGGCGCTGGGCCCCCTTAGCAGCGCCTCCGGCGCCGCCCATGGCGCGCTCCGCGCGCCAGGGAGGGAGGTCCAGCGCGGATCCAGGAAATCCGCGCGCAGCTCCGTAGGCTCATGTTTACCCCGTTTACTGGTGTTCTCAAGGTGGGAGGCTTCGGGCTGCGCACAGACAACACCCCCAGGTAGTCCTGGCTGGCCTCAGCAGCCCCCCAGAGTAGTCCCAGCTGGCCTCAACAGGCCCCCCGAGCAGTCCGTGGCGGTCTCAACACCCCGGCGCCGCGTCCAGCGGCGCCCTTGGGGAGCTCGGGTCCCAGGGCTGAGGTGATAAGACAGGTTCGGGTTACTAGGGGACCAGGGGAGCTTATTCAGGCCAGCTGGGACTCCTCGGGGGGCCTGCTGAGGCCAGACTGGGCTACCTTGGAGGGCTGTCCGTGCGCAACCCGACGCCCCATCTTTCCTCCAGCGAGGGGAGATGATCCCCATCTTGGCGACGGCTCGGGCTTCCTGGGTTGACGAAATACCAACTCCAGCGCCAAAATCTAGGATCATTTTGTCCCGTTGGATGCATCCCCCTCTGTCGGTGCTGGCGCTAATCTCCTGACCTCCAGACCATCGCCGTGAAGCAACCGGATCCTGAGATTTTCTGCCGGGCCCTCCACGGGCCCCGGGACCGTCAGAGAACGGCTCAGGATGGAAAGCTAGTCCTGTGGGGACAGTTCCCAGGGTCCATGACCCGTGTTCCCCAGATTTCCGTCGAGGCGGCCTCGTTCAGTCTCGGTGTACCGTCCCCCTTGTCGGTTCGACGGGCCCGTCGTGGGGCCCCCAGGGCTATCAGAAACGGACTCAGCGTGAGAAACGACCCTGCGCGGATTGAGCACGCACACACACGCACACACCAACCACACACACACACACGCACACAGGTCGGCGGGTGTCAGAGGCAGGGGGTCCTGGAGGGACGGGGCCCGGAGGAGGGCTCTCGCCGTTCCTCGTGCCCCATGGGGCAGTCGGGCTCGGGATGGGTAGCCGGTCTTGGGGGAAGCTTGGAAGGCCCAGGCACGTTTCCCGCAGAGCCCTTCTGTTTCACCCTCAAGGCAGGCTCACTGGTTTTCGGTCACGGGCAGATCGGGCCGCCCGGTTTCCCCCGAGCTCCGGGCACACCTGGGCCCATCAGGAAACGGTCTGGGGCCAGGGACCAGCTCCCAGATTCAAAGAGAGGCCGTTGGAGACACCGCGAGGCCGTGCGATTGGAAGGAGCCACCCCTGACCGTCGCCCCAGCAGAGCCCGCCGAGGCTGCACAGACCCGCTGGCATTCAATCGCCTTTCTGAGGCGTCGGAGCCGACAGGCCCAGGGTCTCGCACCCGAGAAAGCTCGCGCCGTCCGAGGTCTGGTGTGGCCATCGTGCTCTGCATGCCGCCCGCGGCGGGTGTGGCCCGTGCCCTCCAGAGGCACACAGTCACAGAAGACGGCGAGATGCGTCGGCGCTTTGTCTCTTCGGCTGCTCTGCTAGCCTCCGGCTGTGTCTGCTTGGCTCTTCTTGGGCCTCCTGGCCCTTCTAGTAATTAGCCGGCCAGCCATGCAACTGACATCTGGCTGGCTTCGTCCGAGGCCTGTCGGCTTCATCCTGGAGGTACATCGGGCCAGGTCTGGCCGCCTTCGTCGCCGTCGTCGTCGTCGTCGCCGTCCCTCCCCAGCCACATCGGCGCGGAAGGGGGGAATTCTTAAGCCTTGCCATGTGACCCTCACCGAAGAGGACGACGACGAGGACCCCAACCCAGATGGACGACGACGAGACGTATGAGAAGCACAGCGACAGCAGCGAGGACGACGAGGACGATGTCGACAACGACGACGACGACGATGACGACAAGAAAAACGACGGCGACGACAAGGACGATCATTTGAAGATCGTTCGCTCTAACTCGCTTGGGTGGCAATCATGTTTTGTAAGTTTTAGCTCTACAAGGATATGAACGTACCCCTTGCTAGGGGGGTCGCTTAATCTTGCTATCTCAAAGGCCACCCCCGACGAGGTAAGAGAAAGCAAGATAACACAGAACTCTCCTACACCAAATTGAGAAAAGGGAGGAGTGATAGAAGGGGGAAGAATGGAAGGAGGGAAGAAGCCAGGAATGGGGTGGTGGGTCCGTCGCAGAAGGAAGGCTCAGGCAGCCGTCGCGTAGGCGACGAAAGCGCGCTTCTTGTGGACCATTGTGAGGAAGTGTTCGGCCGCCAGCGCCACTGGAGAGTAAGGACAACGTCTCTGTCCATGGCTTCTCTGAGTAAGCTGTCGGGAAGTATCGGGACTTCACCAGTTAGAGTAAGTTGCGAGGGCGTGTCGTGCTGGAGCGCCACTCCTGAATGTGAGGACGTTTCTGGCCGCGGCGTCCTCAGGTAAACTGTGGGGAAGTGTCGATCGCGAGCTGTTGTCGCCATAGTTCCCCACCCGAGAGGTTGGGGTCGTTAGCTTTTAAGAGCAGACCTCCCGACCGGATCCCCAGGTCCTCAGGTCCCCCAAGTGTCCCCGAGTGTCCCGCCTCGCGCCACTCTGCATACCGCGGCCGCCAGATCCCCAGGCCTAGTGTCCCCGAGAATCCCGCCCCACGCGACTCTGCATACCTTGCACATCGCGGTCGGCAGATCCCACGGTCCCCCGAGTGTCCCCGAGAATCCCGCCTCGCGCCACTCTGCATGCCGTGGCCGCCAGATCCCAAGGTCCCCCGAGTGTCCTCGAAAACCTCCGTAGCCATTCTGGCTCAAGGCACGCCGAGCCCCCCTCGCCCCACGTGGCGGGCCCCGAGCGCGCGGGGCTCGCGTCGATGGCGGCTGGGGAGCTGGTCGCCGCAGTCCGGAAGGCGGTGGCCAGCTCCCCCGCGCCAGCGGCGGCCGCGGAGCTGATCGCCGCGGTCAGGAAGGGCCGCATCGACCGCGCCATCGCCCTCGCGAAGCCGCTGGCGGCGGCGCGCAGCCCGCCGGAGGAGCCCCGCGTCCTGGCCGCGCGCGAGTGCTCCGACGAGGCGGCGCGCCTGTGGCGCGATGGGCTCGAGGCGAGGGAGCGGGCGGTGGCGCTGGCGGTGTCCGGCGGGACCTTCACGATCCCGGGCCGCGGCAGGGTGAAGCCTGACCACCTCCGGCAGGGCTTCTGGCTTCGCGAGGTGAGCGACTGGCACGAGGGCGCGGAGGCGGTGTCCCGCCTGGCGCGCGCGTCCATGGCGCTGCGGGGCTTGGACCCGGGCTGCGCGGAGACGGTTGAGCAGCTGCAGGCGCGCTGCAAGGCGAGCGGCGATGCCTCGGCGCAGCTGGATGCCGCCGCCGCGGCGCGCGACCTGGAGCTCCTGGGGCTCGCCGCTCCGGTGAGGCTGATCACGAGTAGGTCGCGGGCGGTGCTGCAGGCCTTCGTCGGCCGCGAGCTCGCCCAGGACCCCTCGGCCCTTGCTCGGTGCCCCGCGCTGGTGGCGCTCCTCGCCAAGGCGCATATAGAACCTGGAGGGTAGGCCTACCTTAGACCTACCCCTAGGCCTACCCCCTAGGCCTACACTAGGCCTACCCCTTGGCCTACCCCCTAGGCCTTCCCTAGGTCTACCCCTAGGCCTACCCCCTGGGCCTACCTTAGGCCTACCCCTGTAGGTCTTCCCCTAGGCTTACCCCCTGGGCCTACCCTAGGCCTACCCTTAGACCCTACCCCCTAGGCCTACACTAGGCCTTCCCCTAGGCCTACCCCCTAGGCCTACCATAGGTCCACCCCTAGGCTTACCCCCTAGGCCTACCGTAGGCTTCCCCCTGGGCCTACCCCCTAGGCCTACCCTAGGCCAACCCCTAGGCCTACCATAGGTCTACCCCTAGGCTTACCCCCTAGGCCTACCCCTAGACCCTATCCCCTAGGCCTTCCCTAGGCCTACCTCTAGGCTTACCCCCTAGGCTTACCCTAGGCTCACTCCTAGGCCAACCCCCTAGGCCTGCCCTAGGCATCTAGAACCCGGATGGTAAGCCTACCCTAGGCCTTCCCCTAGGCCCTATGCCCTAGGTCCCCCTAGGCCTACCCCGAAGGCCTACCCACAAGGCCTACCCTAGGCCTACCCCCTAGACCTACCCCAGGCCTATCCTTGCTCCTTATTGGAATATACCCCCACCTACGTCGTATTCCGGCCGATAGCGACACAATCCGGGACCTCCCATCCGGACTGTGAAAAATCAATACAAAGTGGCCGTTTTTCTTCTCAACATCGTCTTTCTTGTCGTCGACGATGCGAAGAGCGTGGCAGGAATGGGACGCGGCGCACATCGCGCGCGGGAGTCAATCTGGGCCCGCCCATCCTGACTGTAAACAATCAATACAACGTCTTCGTTTTTTTCATCTCAGCATGGCCTGCCTTGTCGCCGACGGTGCGAAATATGTGGCAGCAATGGGACGCGGCGCACATATGGGACGCGGCGCACATCGCGCGCGGCCGTCAATCCGGGCCCGCCCATCCAGATTATAAAAAAACAATACAAAGTCTCCGTTGTTTCCTCTCAGCATGGCCTGCCTTGTCGCCGACGGTGCGAAATATGTGGCAGGAATGGGACGCGGCGCGCATCGCGCGCGGACGTCCATGCGGGCTGCGGGCCCTCCCATCCTGACTGTAAAAAACAATACAGAGTTGCCGTTTTTCCTTTCATCATGGCCTGTCTTGTCGTCGACGATGCGAAATGCGTGGCAGGAGTGTGGCGCGGCGCACATCGCGCGCGGACTTCTGGGGCAACCCCAAGGCGGGAGGGGCCACCTTACTTGTCAGAAGCAATGCCATGCTGATTTTCGCTTGCCCACATAGCTGTTCTTGGCGTCCACCCCGCAAAAGTGCATGGCAAGAATTGGGCGCGGCTCCCCCCCCCCTCGAAGTGAATGAAATGACCTTCTCGCTTGGGCGCCGAGCGAAACTTTCTCAAAGTTGCGCTCCCGCTTTGGCTCGGCGCACGTTTTTAGCTCGCCAATTCATTGGGCGCCGGGGCGTTCCAGGAGGCCCTGGGGTGACGAATGCCTGGGAGGTTTTTGCTTGTTCAGGCTCTTGGAGGGCCTCCTGAGTCTCCCCGCGGTTTCTTGGCGCTACGGCCGTCTGGAGGCCATCTTGGGCGTCTTGGAACGATCTTTCGGCGACTCAGGGCTACTACTCTACTACTACTACTACTACTCCTACTCCTCTCCTACTACTACTACTACTACTACTACTACTACTACTACTACTACTACTACTACTACTACTACTACTACTACTACTACTACTACTACTACTACTACTACTACTACTACTACTACTACTACTACTACTACTACTACTACTACTACTACTACTACTACTACTACTACTACTACTACTACTACTACTACTACTACTACTACTACTACTACTACTACTACTACTACTACTACTACTACTACTACTAACTACTACTACTACTACTACTACTACTACTACTACTACTACTACTACTACTACTACTACTACTACTACTACTACTACTACTACTACTACTACTACTACTACTACTACTACTACTACTACTACTACTACTACTACTACTACTACTACTACTACTACTACTACTACTACTTACTACTACTACTACTACTACTACTACTACGACTACTACTACTACTACTACTCACGACTACTACTACTAAGACTACGACGACTAAACTACTACTACTACTACACTACTTTACGATTCTACTGACTACTACACTACTACTACTACTACTTACTACTACTACTACTACTACTACTACTACTACTACTACTACTACTACTACTACTACTACTACTACTACTACTACTACTGCTACTACTACTACTACTACTACGACTACTACTACTACTACTACTACTACTACTACCTACTACTACTACTACTACTACTACTACTACTACTACTACTACTACTACTACTACTACTACTACTACTACTACTACTACTACTACTACTACTACTACTACTACTACTACGACTACTACTACTACTACTACTACTACTACTACTTACTACTACTACTTACTCCTACTACTACTACTACTACTACCTACTACTACTACCTACTACTACTACTACTACTACTACTACTACTACTACCTACTACACACTACTACTCAACTACTACGACTACTAACTACTTAACTACTACTACTACTATTACTACTAACTACTACTACTGACTACTACTACTCACTACTACTACTACTACTCTACTGACTACTACTACTACTACTACTAACTACTACTACTACTACTACTACTACTACTACTACTACTACTACTACTACTTCCTACTACTACTACTACTACTACTACTACTACTACTACTACTACTACTACTACTACTACGACTACTACTACTACTACTACTACTACTACTACTACTACTACTACTACTACTACTACTACTACTACTACTACTACTACTACTACTACTACTACTTACTACTACTACTACTACTACTACTACTACTACTACTACTACTACTACTACTACTACTACTACTACTACTACTACTACTACTACTACTACTACTACTACTACTACTACTACTACTACTACTACTACTACTACTACTACTACTACTACTACTACTACTACTACTACTACTACTACCACCACTACGCGCCAGCACCCAGTTGCGCCAGCATTTTTTCTTATGTTGGGGAGCGCGGAACGTGTCCGTTGTTCCTTTCAACATGGCCAGTCTTGTCGTCGACGTTGCGAAATTCGTGGCGGGAATGGGACGTGGCGCACATCCCGCGCGGACGTCAATGCGGTGTCCTGGGGTATCCTCAACTCGCACTGAAATGCCCGCGCAACCCCCAGTTGTGCCATCACTGTTTCTTATGTTGTGGGAGGGCGGGTGGGAATGGGCATGCCATGCTTGACTCGCTCGAGCTGGCTAGCTTGACCCCTAGGCCTACCCCTAGGCCTACCCTAGGTCTACCCCTAGGCCTACCCCCAAGGCCTTTCCTAGGTCTACCCCTAGGTCTACTCCCTAGGCCTAGGCCTACCCCCTAGGCTTACCTCCCAGCTTACCCTAGGCCTACCCCTAGGCCCCCCTAGGCCTACCCCCAAGGCTTACCCTAGGCCTACCCCTAGGCCTTCCCCCTAGGCCTACCCTAGGCCTACTCCTGGGCCCACCCTAGGCCTACCTATAGGCCTACTGCCTGGGCTTACCCCCTAGGCCTACCCTAGGCCTACCCCCTAGGCCTACCCCTAGACCCTAGGCCTACCCTAGGTCTACCCCTAGGCCCACCCCCCAGGGCTTACCCTAGGTTTACCCGGCCCCCCCGTTAGGGTCCACCCGGCCCGACCGGCCCCGTCCCGACCCGACCCGTTAGGGTTCTCGCGTGTCCACTTGCACATGCATCATACTTTGATGTCCTGCCGACCCGACCCGACCCGCCCGTCAGGGTCCGACCCGTCCCGACCCGACCCGCCCGTCAGGGTCCGACCCGACCCGACCCGTCCCGACCCGTCCCGTTAGGGTCCGCCCTACCCGACCCGTCCCGATCCGTCCCGACCTGTTAGGGTTCTCGCATGTCCACTCGCACATGCAACATACATTAATGTCCCGCCGACCCGACCCGACCCGCCCGTCAGGGTCCGACCCGACCCGACCCGACACGCCCGTTAGGGTCCGCCCGCCCCGACCCGTCCCGGCCCGTTCCGACCCGTTAGGGTTCTCGCGTGTCTACTTGCACACGCATCCTATTTGAATGCCCCGCCGGCCCGACCCGACCCCCCCGTTAGGGTCCGTCCCGACCCGACCCGTCCCGCCCCTTAGGGTCCGCCCGACCCGACCGGTCCCGTCCCGACCCGACCCGTTAGGGTTCGCGCGTATCTACTCGCACATGCATCATACTCTAATGTCTCGCCGACCCGACCCGACCCGCCCGTTAGGGTCCGACCCGACCCGACCCGACCCGCCCGTTAGGGTCCGCCCGACCCGACCCGTCCCGGCCTGTCCCGACCCGTTAGGGTTCTCGCGTGTCTCCTTGCACATGCATCACACTTTCATGCCCCGCCGGCCCGACCCGACCCGCCCGTTAGGGTCTGCCCGACCCGACCCGTCCCGTCCCGACCCGTCGTCGTCGACGTCGTCGTCGTCGTCCGAAGATCAGGGTCTGAGGAGGTTTTCTGTCGCTTTCGGTCCTTGGATGCCGCTTTCGAACCCCGGGGCCGCCAAAAATTGATACCAGGTTGCGACGCCTTTGGGGTTGGCCTCCCTAGGTCTACCCCTAGGCCTACCTCCTAGGCCTACCATAGGCCTACCCCTAGGCCTACCCCTAGGCCTACCCCCCAGGCCTACCATAGGCCTACCCCTAGGCCTACCCCTTAGGCCTACCCTAGGCCTACCCTAGGCCTACCCCTGGGCCTCCCCCCTAGGGCTACCCTAGGCCTACCCCTAGGCCTACCCCCTAGGCCTACCCTAGGTCTACCTCTAGGCCTACCCCCAAGGCCTGCCCCCAAGGTCGACCCCCAAGGCCTACCCCCAAGGCCTACCCTAGGCCTAACCCTAAGCCTACCCTAGGCCTATCCCTAGGCCTACCTCTAGGCCAACCCCGTAGGCCTACCCCGTAGGCCTACCCTAGGCCTGCCCCCTAGGGCCTTGAGTAGGGCCTACCCTAGGTCTACCCAAGGGCCCTGGGTAGGGCCTACCCTTGGTCTACCCTGGGGCCTTGGGTAGGGCCTAGCCTAGGCTACCCTAGGGCCTTGGGTAGGGCCTACCCTAGGCTGCCCTAGGGCCTTGGGTAGGGCTTAGGGTATGCTACCCCCCCCCCGGGTTCTATACCCCAAGGCGGGCCGCTACTTCGACGCCGAGCTGGGCGACAGGCCGCCTCCGGGTCCGCTGGGCCCTGCCGCCAGCCCGGTCGGCGTGTACCCGTGCCCACCGCTGCGTCATTGGGCCGAAGCGCGGCGGCTGGCGGCTGAACGCCAAATGCGCTTCATCGCCGAGATAGCCTCCGAGGCAGCCGTGGGCCTTCTGCAAGATCCCAGCGACGGGTTTGCCCTCATGGAGGTGGCCGTTGTGTTCTTCAAGGCGGAGTGCCCTCTCGGCGAGCGGAAAGCGGCGCTGAAGGTTTTCGCCGCCACTCAGGCGCGGCTCGAGGAGCGCGCCAGGGACCTGCGCTCGTGAGTCCTGACTGGGCCCTGGGGTGTGACACTGCCAGATGGTCCACGAGCGCTGGCTTAAAAACGTGTCCCCGAGAGTCCCGCCTCGCGCCACTCTGCATACCGCGGCCGCTAGATCCCCAGGTTTCCCGAGTGTCCCCTAGTATCCCCCCTCGCGCTTCTATGCATACCGCGACCGCCAGATCCCCATATCTCTCGAATGTCCCCGAGTGTCCCGCCTTGCACCGACTCGCCCACCCTGCATACCACGGCCGTCAGATCCCCAGGTCCCGCACGTGTCCCCAAGTGTCCCGCCTTGCGCCACTCTGCATACCGCGGCCGCCAGATCCCCAGGCCCCCTAGTGTCCCCGAGTGTCCCGCCCTGCGCCGACAAATCATATCATGCCAGAGCGGTATTATGACACAGTAGAGCATAGTAAAGCGGAACACTATACGATATGACAGAACAACGCATACTACCACTCCACCTAACAGCACATATCTGAGCATAGCATGGCATATCATGTCAGAAACTAGTGTAACATAACACGCCATGGCAGCGCAGCGCATACCATAACACTACATCACAGCACAGAGCATTCCAAACCATAACGAAGCAAGCAGACCGTCATAACACACCTCAGAACTGAACATACCATACCAGAACGTGTCACGGCCTCACATTGCATACCATATCATATCATAACACACCAGATGGCAACACAGCGTGCTACGACAGACCGGAGCGTCCATATCATAACATATCATACCATGCGCTGTCATCGCATGACATACCATAGCATACCATGACACAGCACACCACAGCATAAGACATCATCACAGCTCATATGATATGACAGCACCGTAGCACAGTTGAGGATTCATAGCATGACAGAGCACGACATACCATGTGACATCGTAGCAGACATGAACATACCATAATAACGTAAGCTATGAACATAACCGAACATAACACCACATTGAATAGCATAACGCACCATAACAGAGCACAGCGTGGCGTGACATTCCATGACACAACATACCATAGCAGAACATGCCATGGCAAAACAGGCACAGCATTAAAGCTCGCAGCATTCTACAACATATCAAACGCGACGTGCGCACCGTTGGGAGCAAACGCAGAAACTTTCGGTGGGGCTCGCTCGAAGCAAAATGGTTTGGGGTAGTAACAGCTGGGCTTTGGAATCCAGCGCGCGCTCGAACGGGAGCCTCGCGGTCAGGAGAGATGCGCCCGGCGTCGATGCGAAAGCGCCTGGAGCCGTTTCCATAATTCACTCGTAACCTTCAGAAGCGATTCGGCATCAAAGACGGCGACCACGACGCCGATGACGACGACGACGACAAACACGGCAACATTGAGTATCCGACGACCCAGACCCCCGATGTCTTTTCCTCACAACGTGTACCCTCAGAGTTCTGGACCCCTTCCCTGGGGCCGTTTTCTCATCCTGAGTCGTGGTGCTGACGACCCCGAGGCCCGGCGAGGGCCCCCAGAGGCCGAAAACATCGAAAGACCTCCCGTCGTGATTGTTTCACGACGCGAGGGGGGGTCTGGGGACGACGGCGGCGACGACGACGACGACGAGAACAGCTGCGACGACACCGACGAGGACAACAGCGACAACGACACCGACCATGACCGACGATGGCAGCGAGCCCGGCCTCCCCGAGAGGAGGTCGTGCAGTGGGCCCTCGCCGACGAGTTCCTCGCGGGGCTGCTCGCCCACTTCGCCGAAGACCCTGCCCCGCCGGAGCCCAGCGCACAAGAAGCGACCCCCGCGGCCGGGCCTCGGAGCGCCCTCCTGCGGCCTGCGCTCGAAACAGTGCCCGTCTCCGGAGGTGGCCTTCCCATACCGTTTCGTCGGGCGTGTCCCCCTTCAGGAGGACTATTCGAGAATAGGAAAAACAGTTTGATGACTAAGTGTCGAGCCCGTCCGATGATGCTTGCATCATTTCCAGACTACTTTGAAGTTTGCTTCCAAAGTCCGCCCTGTAAAAGGACATGCCCGACCTGACCACACCTCTGACGATTATGTTTTGCCTATCAGGGCCTTGTTCTCCTCCCCCTCTTCCTCCTCCTCCTCCTCCTCCTCCTCCTCCTCCTCCTCCTCCTCCTCCTCCTCCTCCTGGGCCAAGCTTGCCTCACAGGTCAGGTCCTGTGAGCTGGGGCCCAAACTTTCTGCACCCACTCGAAAAGCATGCCCGCAGTGACGGTTGGCTGGGCGATGGTCTGCCATCGCGCGGCGCGCTCAAGAGCTTTTGCGCGAGGTTCACGCTGCCGCGGGGCATGGCGGAGGCGAGGCAGACGGACGCTGTCAAAAGTGGCGGTTCCTTTGGAGAAAGCAGTTTGGAGCCGCAGTCGCGGGGCAGATTACGGGCAGACGTCGCGCGCGCGGCGGCCGGGCCATGTCGAAGCGTCCACGGTCGGAAGTCACCCTGTACGAATGGTGGTCCCACGCGAGATCTTCGGTGGATTAGGGGGCCGCGGCGAGGCGGGCCGCAGTCGCGGAGCAGCGCGCGAAGATGCTCGCAATGCACACCCAGGCCTGGCTCGATACGATCGCGCGGCATTTTGCGACGCAGTGCTGCGTTGAGGCCTTGAAGCAGGGACTCAAACCGAGGGCGCCGCAGATGCGGCCTCGGTAGCGGTTGAAGTGGCGGCGGTCCTATGGTTTGAGCTTGCGAAAACCGAACCGCAAGTGCAAGGTGCCGAAATGGCTTCTCCAGTCGTTCTTCGAAACGACGATCCTCAACGTGGCCAGGGTTCGCGCAGCCGCAGAGGAACTTCTTGGGCGCGAGCCGCGCGTTCTCAAGTGGGGCCAGTTCCCTTTTCACCACATCGGGGCTGCTTCTGCTGTGAAGCCGCGCCTGGCTGCGAGGGGGGGGCCTCGCCCCGCTGGTGGAAGCGCTCGTCGGCAGCAAGCCAGGTGGACAGCGAATCTCACGGTGTCGAGCGACGAGGGGGACATCCGCAATCGCGGCCCGTCGCCAGCGGAGTTGATGTTCAAGGGGGTGCCCGCCGCGGCGAAGAGCCCAGCGGCGCGCGCTCGCATTCGCGGCCATGGTGCCTGGGTGGGTACGGCGACTGCCGAGAAGGGCCCATGTCGCGCAGAAGATGCCATTTCCTTCTTGCAGCGACACTTGCGCGCGCGGCCTGGCGACGCGCAGGCGGGGGGGGGCAGCGGCGCGTCCTCGCGGTCGACGACCGCGGGGCCCGCAAATCATACGTTGTCCAGAGACTCGCCTGGACGCGCGGCGACGTCTTCATCGCCCATGAAGGGGGCGCAGCCGCAGTTGCGCAGCCCGCGGACGCGGGCGCGAATCAGCGCGCGAAGCACCGCGCTCGAAACCGCGGAGCTCGCGAAGCGAATGGCGGAGGGCAAACAGGTGCCGCCGTTGCAGCGGTACGAGTGCGTCGATTACACGTCGTCAGCGCTGAGCAATGCGCAGCTCCTCGTGGGCGCCGCCGAAGCTTATGTGAAGACAGGGGCCAGAGCGCCATTTGACAAGTCTGGCAGTCTGCACATCTGCAGGGGGGCGTCGGGGCCGCGGAGGAGCGGGCGGCCGCTGGGGGATGTTGACGCCGCAGTCGCGGAGGCCATGGCAGAACGCAACGGGGGCAGGCCCCGGTGGTCAGGCAACCGCAGGCGCCGCCTCATCCTGGATCGCGAGAAGCACGGTGCATTAGACGCAGTCTTGGCGAACCTGGGTGAGGAAGTGCTGCGCGCGAGCAATGCAGAAGACGCCGAGGAGGAGAAGGGGGGGGGCGGGCGCGGGGGGCGACGGCAGGGAGGAGGGCGAGCAGGGCGACTCCGACGAGGCCGACGAGAAGCAGGACTGGCAGGAGGCTCTGCGGGGTGACTAGGAGGCCGCAGATGCGGATCGCAAGCTTGCGCGCGCGCGGCACTGGGGGAGGCGATCGCGGATGGCGCGCGCGCGGCCGAGCAGGCGGCAACGGCGGCATCGCTGCAGGCCGAGACTTTGTCGCGGCAGGTGGGCATGGAGGAGTTTGCGATGAATTGTAGAAACGATCAGCGGAAGCAACGCAAACGCACGCGAGAGCTGTCTCGCGTGGGCGACGGCCTCCTGCGAGCCTCGACGGCGAAGCGGGACCGCGAAGCCGCAGAGGCGGCGAAACGCCGGCGATTGGCGAAGGGGGCGAGCGACAGGACCTCGGCGATCCGAGACCCGAAGAAGCAGACTCGGAAACCCGAGGCCGCCGCGAGGGCGAGCAAAGAGGCCGCGGTTACGGCGGGGGCGGCGCCAGCGAGCAAGTTCGCTTTGGCGCAGTGGAGGCCAGAAGAGTTCAAGCCCAAGAAAAAACAAGATGGCGGCTCTGGATCGCCCGGCTCGCGGCACGGGCGCCCCCTCGGAGGGGCGGAGACGCGAGTGGGCGCGGCTCGCAAAGAGATGAGCCGGGAACACCAGGTGGAGCGGCCAGTCGCGCTCGAGGGGTGGGCGCGACGAGTCGCCAACGACGCCGCGTATGAGAATCGCGCGGCGCTGTCGCAGTCCGCGCGCAACGAGACAGCGAGCACTTTTGACGGTCAGATGGCGCGGGCGGTTCCGGCAAGCGCCGCCCCCGGCCGCGGTCGCGGAGGAAGTGGGGCCGCTGCGCAATTCGAGCTGCGCGGCTGCCGTTGCGGCGAGGCGCTGCCGCTGTTGCGTTTCTGTCGGAGGCCTAGTTGACCGCAGTTGCGGCAGCTTTTTTGCAGCAGCGTGGAGAAAACGCAACATCAGCATTATCGCCCTTCCTCGTCTTCCCCCTCCCCCTCCTCATCCTCGCCTCCCCCCCCCGCCTCCGGGATTTCTTGATCCTCCAGCAGCTGTTGCTCCAGCCCCGCGCGATGGCTAATGGCGGCCCGACGGGGGCCCCGCGGGCACTCGCCGCGTCGATCTGCGCCGCGGCCGGCGCCGCCGAGCGGGCGCCCGCCCGCTCTGCTGCGAGCGGCGCCTTCGGTTGCGGAGCCCAGTTTGGCGCCGTCGCGCCGGCGAGGCCGCGGC